CAAAGCTTTCAAAGTGATCCAACATTTGATAGTCAAGCTCCAGACTCCTGAAATGGTCAAACCCAACAAAAAAACACGCTTCTGTATATCTTATTGACCGGTACTGTATGTTTGAACATTTCGCCGCTAGAATCATGCAACAATGATTTGAATCAGTTTACTGTATTACATTATTCTGGCACAGTTAACAATTATCCTCTCTATCTTAGGCCATTTTCTGAACTTCTCGCCTCCCGTGAAGAAAAACACTACCGGAGGTAACTTGCAAGACACAAGCTTTTCTCTGCCGAAACCAGCTCTCAAGAATGTTTGCTCTTGCCTACCGACACAGCAGCATCATCCACACCGCGTAACTCGGTTTTTTCTCATTATCGTTTTGGACTTTCCTCTCTGGATTTTGCTCTTATCAGTTTTATTGGTCTGATCCTCATGATAAATCAAGCTGGTTCAAATCTTAGACGCTTCATTCACTCGCGGTCAATATTAAATTTTTCTTACACTTTTTAAATTGAAGATGACCATGTTCAGGCGTCTGAAAAATTATGTCATCCCACAATTGCTCATTTTGTCCGAAAACTTCACAGATGGTAATTGACTTTCAGTTTCTATAGACGTTTCCAAATTTTCAAAATTTAGATTTTGTTTTCAACTTTGTGTCTTCTGCTGAAGGTCATTTTTCAAATTTCGGATATCTTCTTGGTGCATTTTATTTTCACATTTTTATTGCTTCCCTCTATTTTGCCTTCTATTCTCTCAAACATTCTCTCAATTTCGCACGTCATGCCATTACATGATGCGATTTAGAGAAAAAGAGGGCTAAGAGGGGAGAGCAAAAAAATTGAGGAAAAAACGAAAGGAAGCAGAGGACGAGTTAGCTATTCTATCCGTTTCTTCTCCTACCGGCCCATAACTGGGAAGAGCAAGAAACATTCGTGTGCCCTTCCGGGGCAGGCGAAAAAAGTTAGTTTATGAGTTGAGGCAAAATGTCAGAGGCGATAGGGTTTCATGATGCTCTCAATTTTCGAAAAAGCTCTCAAGTTCCGGATCTCAATTATTTTATGCTGGATCCGAAAATGCAACTTTTTATGTGTGCATTACCTTTTACTGAAACATATAATTAGCAAAATTAATTATTTCCAACTTCAATAATTTTCACTTGTTCCACTTTGGGCTTTTCACTTGAAAACACATGAAATTTAAAAAAATAACTTACAATTATCAAAATGCCCAGTTTCATCAATTTTATATTATTCCCACTTTCCAAATTAAAAAAAAATATTTCTTCAGCAAAATTTCACTTTAATTCTTCTCGAATTTACATTCTGCATCTTAATATGTCGGTTTTTGACAGCTATGCGGTTTTTTTATTCTGTCAAGAACGTTTTTTCATAGTTGCCCCTTCTTTGAGCTCTTCCAAGATGTCCCAGTGCACGTGAATCCTCTCATTGGCACATGTGAAACTTTTTAACGACAGAACCAAAAAAAAGTTGGGAGCAGTCAACCCAACTCGTGTCTTTTGAAAGTCTCTTCCATCCACCGAAAATGAATGAGGTTCTTTTTGAAGAAAATGCGGAGAGTTCAAGAGTTTCAAAATCAGTGTTCATTTTCCTTGCTCGGCATTTCAGCTTTAGTTTCAATCTCTTGTCGTTCATTCCCTCACTTTCTTAAAAAAGCGAAGATTTTCGTTCAGCCCAAAAAGAGCCGTATCGCAATTTCATGCATGTGATAGTGCGAGCCAACGTTTATTTTATTTTTCCTAACATGAGTTCAAATGGCCGGCCGATGGCTTCTATTCAACATTTGCTTGATTTGAGGTTGTCTGAATAGATGGATTAATTCTGTGTGAGGTAGATAAACTGAAGAAAAACTGAGAATATATATATATATATATATATATATATATATATATATATATATATATATATAAATGTGTGATTCAAGGCGAAGTGCTTACTTGAAAATCTCACCTTCATTTGGAATGAACCTGATAAAAATCTTGCAATCTTTGAAAAGACAATAAAAGTCTTAGAAGGTCAAATAGATTTTTCAAAATTTGTGATTAAAATCTCATTGTGTCAGACCTCCCACAACGTTATTTATTTCTGACGATTAGAATACAGTGCGCGTCATAAGCATAGCGCCCCCCGAAAAATGAGTTTCCAGAGTTCCTGTAACAGATAGGAAAAATCTGTTCACACCATTCGAACAAACGTCTAATAGAACCCGGATATGGAAATTTTCGTTTTGATCGGTTGCGTTCTGTCTGATCTATGACGAAAACATCGGAAATGCACCGCGTCAAAAGTATTGCACGTTTTTGTGTTTTGGCCCCGTAATCACCATACCTCGCTATAAAAACTATTTTTCGTGCTGGATATCCAATTCTCAGTACATTTTCATATTTTCGGGAAAATATCAAACGTCGGACTTATGTGGATCATGGATAAATCAGCGTTTCAGTCATCAAAACTTCCACAATTGCCCACGCGGCTAAAATTGTTGATTTCTAGCTAAGAAACAGCTTAAATGACATTTTTCATTGTGTTTATTGGAATGAAAACACTTTTGACCTATCTCTTCGATCTACAGTGTCTGAATCGAGGCCTTATTCCGAACTCCACCTCGGCAGCCATCCCATTCGTCAGCTTCCGACGCTATACTTTTGAAGCGGTGCATTTCCGATGTTTTGGTCACAGATCAAACAGAACGCAACCGATCGGAACGAAAATTTCCAGATCCGGGTTCTATCAGACGTTTGTTCGAATGGTGTAAACAGATTTTTCCTATATGTTACAGGAACTCTGAAAACTCATTTTTCGAGGGGGGCGCTATACTTTTGACGCGCACTGTACTATCTTCAGTCCTGGGTTGAGAACCCTATATTTGAGGTCCTGTTCCCCTCAAAAATACTTTATCTCCTCTAGAAAACACAACCCCTTAATTTTTACCTCAAACATAATAACCTCAATTAAACAAATTTTTATGAAAAAAATGTCTTTCAATAAAATCTTTGAAGAGGACTACAAACAGTTTTCTAGTTTACGGATTTTTGAAGGCTTTTTTGAAAATTGAGTATACCGCAATGTATGATACCCTATATTCTCTGATGAAAACTCACCCGATACATGCACTTTGAGCTTAACTAACTCGGTTTATTCGAAAAACATCGAAAACTTGTCAACTGAGGGAGTTGCATTAATACCATTGGCTTTCAAAAGAGATATAAAAAATCAGTCAATTAATAAATGTTGTCTTCATTGCACCAACATTTTTCAATTGCCAAATTTTCGAAACCTTCTTGAGGTAATTGAGATTTAAAAAAATGAACGTTATGAGTGGTGGCTCCATGAATACGATGATTATGTATCTTCAAAGTTATTCCGAGAACTTTTGTGAGTACATGGAACATGACCAGTTGTATAAGACGACAGATATAACCATGTTTCTTGAAACGTCGACGTGAGCCTTATGTGCCGTTTATTCAATTATCGCTGCTCATATATCTTCCTTGTCGTCCTTACATCATCATCAACTTCTTCTTCCTTCCCATCACATCCCATCCTAGTTCTTCGTAGGGTTCTGCCTTCTTTGTTGACCACAAAACTCTACTTCTTCCGCCTTTTTCACGGTCAGCCATCCAGGGCAAACGAAGGAAGAATCTCGTCGCCCACGGACCAATTGCTATTAAGACAAGCATCTGTGCATTCATATTCCTCTTGCCTCCAGTTTTCCAAATTTCTTCCCCTCTATGTTTCTCCATCCCCGTTTTCCCGCCATTCAGCTTATGGATTGAAATCGCTTGTGTTTCGCTTCTTGTGAATGTGGTGTGTTCTACTGGAGAAGAAGAAGAAGAAGAAGAAGAAGAAGTCAAAGGGTCGAGTGTTCGTTATGTATTTCGAATGTGTGGGGTGACAGATTTAGCGGTTTGAAGGCAGCAAGTGGTGGTGGTGCTAGTTCACTTGTTTCCGGATTTTATTGAGCTTACGCGTTTTGGCAATTCTATTTCCGAATAAGTTCGAATAATTGAAATGAATAGGTGGATCCTACTGATTGTTATACGCTTCAAATATTTATTTTGACTGTTTTTATCTACCTTTTAGTAGAAATCAACGAACAAACTCAAAAAAATTTGTGAGTTCTCAAAAAAAGTTTTGATTAGAAAGAATAATGCAAATCTCAGACACGGCAAAAATTAAAGGACATTACAGAGTTTCTGATTTTTCAACAAAAAAAGCATTTTTGTGACACTTCTGGCTTTCGCGCCTTCAACGCTTTTTAATGGATTCGCTTCTTATTATTCATTGCTGTTCAAAGGGCCACGTCAATCTAGATTTCATTTCCAAGCTTTTTGAAAATCGTTAGGGCAGACTGATAGAGAGATGCAACTTCGTTCATTAATTCTAAGAATGATTAAGCGTACGCCATAACTTCTAACTTTTCAAGGTTTTGATAGCACATTTGGGGCCTATTCCGTTTCGAGTTGGTACCATAAACAGATGAATATTCAACTGTTGCCAAGTCCTGCTTTTGAACTGTTTCCTGCAAAATCTACCAAACTTTATTACTCCTCCTCGATCTAAGCTTGTTGTCATTGTAATGTGGGAACGAGAAACACAAGGGGTTTGGGGGAAGAATCCATGCAGTCCATGCTAGCTATTCATTCACCCCAAAAATTTTCTCCTTTTTTCTACCCTTCCTAGTTTTCGTATTCTTCCTTCTCGTCGCTTCCTTTCTTTATTTCTCGAGAGAAACATTTCTACTTCTTCTACTTCTTCTTCTCGCCCCTCTATCGCGCAGCAGTCCAAATGACCTTTGTGTCGGTATGTGGGACGGCTAGTTTGCACTTGGAGGAGCGTCCCTGCGACGGAGTTCATAAAATTGTAACTAGATGTTCAAAATTTTTGTTTCACCGTCGCTTTGATGAAACCGTTTGTGTGACTTGGCTAGTTTCAAGGCCTTGTGGAAAACTTCAATGATCATGATCCTTAAGGCTTTGATTTCGGTTTTTTCATGGGTTATCTGGACTGCCTGAAACGGTTTTTTGAAGCTACTAATGTCTTCCCAGCTGTCCGAAGAATCCGAGAGTTTTCTTTTTCTTCCTGGTGTTTTCGGTTTGTTTGCAAACTGTAAAATGTGCCTTGGCGACTACGCCGCGACGATTTTTTGCCGCCGGCTGGTCGGCCCCAATGCACTCAACGCCCGCATCTTTTTTTCTAGTCGAATGGCTTAGCAATCGAGAAACAGTCATTCGCATGTTACAGTTTATGCTGGACAGTGTTCTTCAAACTGTGAATATATGTGTGCGTTTTTTTTGTTGCTTGCATTTTTAGTGTTTTATCAGAAATTCCTTTCTAGCATAGTCTGTCTGAAAAGGTATTGTTCTTTTTGTTAGTTTTTGCATCATCTATAAATATGAATTTTGGAATGAAAACTTATAGAAAAGTTTCAAAAAGTCAAAATGATGTAAAAAAATGTTTAGATAGTCTGGAGATTTTCAGCGTTCGCATACTGCTTCACTGATAATTTATCAACTTTTTTCTTCATTTTCTATCACGAGTGTTGCACTTTCAGTTTGACTGGAAACTGATTGAATTTTCTTGTCAGATGATTTTGACATAGTCTAAATCCCGCCTCTAAATATCTACAGTATACCTCAATATTGCTATAAAAGAGACGAGCTTACTGCTGTTCTTCCTCATACCTCAAACCCAAACTATCTATCCGCCCGTTTTTTCCATGTTTCGAAACAACTTTCTCTATTCCTTTTTTCTCAAACTGCTAGCCACCAACTGAGAAAAAAGTCAACATGAAAAGTGGTGTATCCTTTCGTGTCTTTTTTCCCACCACCACAATGCTTCCCATCCCGCCTATCAGTAATTTGTGGGAAGCTGACAAGCGATCACTCGTATTATCCATGTCAAATCTGTACGAAATACAAAAAACGATGTGTAGTTGTAATGTTTTCCTGACGAGATTATTTTGTAGGATGTAATCCATTCTTGTACTACTATAATACTTCATTTTCATTCGTAGGTTTTATTGCTCACTTCTGAATTTCTGAAGTGTTCCTTTACTGTATTAGTCACTCAATTCACCAAATGGCAGTTTTTTGAATCCAAAGCAACCAAACTTCAAATTTTTTCTCCGATTTGTCCATTACGATCCAAATTTCAAACTGGTTTTTTTTCTATTTGGTTTTGGTTCTGGTCATAAAATCTTGAATCTGTTCTCAACTACCTCTTCTTCGCCGTCTCTTTATGTTTATGGTCAAAAATCTATGATCAACTCTTTCAAGAAGATGAAGAAGATGACTGTTAGGTTGTCAACCATTGCATTCCTTTCCAATTAGTCAAACCGTAACGAAGCTTCTTCTCGCCAATGAGAACGTCATCAAAACGAGACCGGTCCACTCAAATTTTTGCGAAAATGACTCAGAGACTCTCGGTATATAGCTTACTCCATTTCAACCGCGCGCCCCCTTACACCGACTGTTTGCTTTCCGCTCCTTTTTGCTTGTACTCTCTTTCGAAATCCAGCATCACACCGTGGACACTAGGATGACCAATAGACATGAGAAAAAAAAACAGATTGAGACTATTCGCAATTTTTCGAAATTGTAAATTGACATATTTGGCTTTGGCTTGGCGCACGTTACGGTTTTTTTTCGCGCGGTTAGGATGCTGGTTCTTTTTTTGGTATTCTCTAGCATTCCGCGGGACACAAATTACGCTATTTGTTGCTTCATTTGGATGAATGAAGGCTATAGATGTATTGGAGAAGACACGCATAATCGTCTTCATCCAGTCTTCTGTAGATGTTGGATTTTGTAGGATAAGTTGGTTGTGGAGAAAACACTATTTTTATAATTACTAGCATTTTTTCTTAGAAGCTACAGTACCTCCCGGTATAAAAAAATAAGGTTTTTAGTTGTTTTAAACCATTTTTCGCAGTATAGAGCTCGACTGTCAAGTGTTTGATCATTTTGAATATTTTGGAGGTTATAAAACAGAGTTAGATTTGAAACTTTGCATTCACAGAAATTTTGAAAATTCCTAATTTATCACTTATTTGCCGATTTCTAAAAAGCACCTCGTTTTTTCCTGTTTTTGTACTGAAAACGTAAAAAAACCGGTCCTTCAGAAATCACCAAATAATTGAAAAACTAGGTATGAAACATTTCTTTAAAAGCAAATTTTCAAAACTAGATCTGTTTTTTAACCTCCAAAACTTTCGAAATGATCGGGCTCTTTACAGCCGAGCTTTAGAATTCTGAAAATTGTCGGAATTAACTGAAAAATAAGTTTTTATATTTTATTGACCAGTACTGCATCTCTTTGAAAACTAGGAAAACTTGTTAGCTGTCTAATTGCAAAATTGCTGAAATTACTACTGTTCTGACAGTAAATTGATACATCTTTTTTAACACATTTCTCTATTTAAAATTCGAATTCCAAAGAGCACACAAATAGAGAGAAGAAGCTTGACATCAAAGTCCATGTCAAGTCAATTTCTTACTCTTCTTGCATCCTTATAGCAAGTGACGCCAGCGCCATCCGAGGCGCCGGAGGACAAATCCCCCTAGGGGTCCCTCAACTTAAAAGTCTTGAAAAATGCATTCCTAAATTTCCATGATCCCTTCTAATTTTCAACACATCACTTTTTCTATGTTACTCGTCATTTCTCATCATATCTAAACAATAATTATCTGACAATGGCGCGGAGATTGTCACCAGCTGAAATCATTTCTAAGTGAGATACACCCACAATTTTCTCTTTCTAGGGCACAAAATTGATATTTTACATCATTCCAAAAACAGGTGAAATGCCTGTGCAGTTGTTTCCGAGCATTGCCTTCTATGAAATCAAATAGGGAGCCCTAAAAATAGTCTAATTTCCATTTTGGACTTCTGGAGTCAAATGTGTACTCTGATTCTACGAGAAAGCGTACTGTGCCTATTCGTTTCATCACAAACAACCCTTGATAACCGCGTCGGTTTCATTTTTCTCTTCTTTTTTTCTTTTTTTTTCGCTAAACATATACCAAGAAAATCAAGATTCTTCTTGAAACTTTCTCTTCTATTCACATTCCATTTTCTCTTAGAATTTTGTTCATGTACTGTTTTTTTTTCTTTTTTTTCCTTCAAAACCATTTCTCTCCAAATTTTCACCTTTCACTTCTCTTTTTTGCTTGCCATAGTCAGTAAAATCGGCTACCTACCACACTATCTTTGTTTCTTTTAACCCGCCATTCTCTCAACTTCGCCCCCTCCGAAACTTTCTCCCCTAAAAAATCACATGTTTCATGATTGTTTCAACGTTTTTGACCGTCACATTACTCCCATTTCTTGATTAATTGATTCATTTTGAACGCGTTCCTAATTCTTGGACTTTTTCAGCTTGGAACACTTCAACAACGTCAATATCAACGGCATTAACTTCTGCAATCAAAATAGAAGGTAGGTGTTATTATTATGGCTATTTCGAGAGCTCGGCATTTTTTCGAAATTCCGATGACCTAAATAATCAGGAAATTCGATGAGGAAATCATTAGAGATGTTGCAATCATATGAAACTAGGAGAAAATGAAGCTTGCAAACCGATAAATAAAGTACATTTTTACTGTTCCAGTTGTAACTTTCGGTTTTCAGGCGCACATACTGAACATTTTTCAATTTGAAAATATTTCACCCAAATTATAATATGCCCGTCAATACGTATTTTTCACATGATTTTGGCCATTTTGACAACTTGCAGGAATCT